GTAAAAATATGCCCAGTCAGCGTTTTTAGCTGGAGCTACTGTTTATTTCCGCTTCCGGGGGCACCACTGTTCTATGGTGTTCCGGTTTGGATTATCCCAGGGCTTCTGAGAGCAATAAGCGCAGAAGCCCTGGGTACGAGGTTGGTTCGATCCAAAAAAACAATTATTGGACGCTGATGACATCATCGGCGGAAAATACGTAATAAATGCCGAATACTGAAAATTAGCCGGTGCTTTCTGACCAATTAGAAACGAGAATACGTATTAAATGTATAATAACTGAATTTTGTGTAGGTTGCGTGATTGCGCGATTTAACTGTAAGCTCTTAGCCAATCAAATTGCTTTTACCCACTACAATGTATAATAATGTCTATTATTTCTATGGCTCAGACCATGGCTCAGACCTTAGCACTGCGGAAAGGAAAAATAGGTACGCATTGCGTACATGGGCTAGTCTGTTATTACCTCTTGCTGCTGATAAAGTGACTGGACAAAGCAACTCCTGATTTGTTGAAGGGTTCAATTTTATACATGGGATTTTGAGGGAACACTATATAGCTGAAAAAGGTCTGATCCCTGATCATCCTCTACACAACTATATTTCGAGAGTAAAACATAGTCTACTGTATATTAAAGTGCCTATAAACCCAAAACAGGGGCGTAAGTTTGGACCAGCCTGCCCCTGGTCCTACCGGAATTGGGTGCCCCAAGGCAGGGGTATCCTAGATCCATTTGAAGTACCATGAAGTTCTTACAATATGAACATTTTGCTGGTCGTTTAGAAGCGAATTTTAATGGTATCTTGAACTGGAAACATAAATATATAGATTATAGTAAAATATACAACAAAAAACCACAACTATGCAGAAATAACACCATACAGAAATTGTGTTTGACATAAACAGTGAAATGTTTGCCACTGTACTTATGCACGTACAACCTTAGATGAACAAAGTCCCCGGACAACTCAGTTCAGGGTGCCCCCTGGAAGCTCCCGGCTCTTACCGGGTAGAGCTCATTTCATTCTTTCTCAGCCTGGTAATTCTAATTATTCACGTTTATTAGCTTTCTTAATAGAATTGTGGAAAGCTACACTAAACCAATTCCACAAGCGGTAAATAATTCTTGCTTAAGCCTGTTAAGGAAGACAGTTTCTTGCATGTTTAATTAAAATAAGTAAGCAAAACAACGTTTTTAAAAACTACACGTCAAAATACAACAACAGTTATGACAAGAACAAAGGCAATACATAAGGCAACAAAACATAAAAATTAAACAAATAATTTAGAACTTATTGAGTCTGTTTGTTCTTTCTTTTTTTTTTTTTTTTACTTTAGCTACGTTTTGGATAGTTTACTACCCGTCCTCAGGCTATTTACACCTGTAACATTATGACAAAATACATTCTTCTTGCTTTGCTTCTACTTGCAATCCACCTTGACTTCTTCCTCGATTTCCTCTTCGACTTCTGCTTTCTCTCACTTTTACATAAGTTATTTCTTTATTCCCTTCGGGGCCTTCATTTACATAAATTTTCGTGACTTCTCTCTCCCATGTTTCCTCATCATCATCATACTGATTGATGCTTCCTTGTCCATATCTTTGTATCTCACGTCCACTCTGAAAAAATTGTGGGGGAAAATTGAAACCAAAATTCATGTGAAACGTCAACCTGTATAGTATATGTAAAGTCCAAATGACGCTATAAAGCCAATTAACTAATAAATTGGTTGTTTCAAATTCAAAATAAATCAATTTATGGGTTGATTTAGCCAATTTGTTTTAATTTACAGAGTGGATAACAATTAAGGCTCTCCCTACCATTTTTAGATCTTCTGGTGAAATCCCTCACTCTTAGCTTTCGTGTCTTTCAGATATATGCCTTATAAAAGTAGATAAAAGATGTTAATACACAAATTATACACAAATTAAATTATTTGACCTGTAAAATTTGAGGAGGCAAAGAGAACGATAATAACGTGTCCATAGTTGTTTCTGCACACGAATAAAAAACTTTGATATTTGAGGATACTATACATTTAACCAAATATTCCGAGGCAACTAGTTTTTTATATTAAAATTACTGTCAACCATTTTGCTGACCATAATTCCAAATACAATCACGTTTTGTATCTAATACATTTATCATAAATAAAGAACTATATACAACTTACTACTGCTACTATTAACCAATCAGATGCGTTTAATCTACCCGAATTACAAATCAAATGCGAATTAAACCTGCAGTGGGAAGTAGCGGAAGTCAAATCTGAACCTCTTTAAGTAAAATTTTGACGACGTATCATTATTTTTGCACTGCGCAATTTCACTTTCACTATCAGTCTTCAATTTTCAATCCTAGATCGTTGTGTTTTATATATACTTTTACAAAACAATTGAAGAGAAAGAGAAAAGTTCATAAGAAAAGCTATGAAAATTTTTGAATATATAAATGTTTTCTATGCAGCGGAAATTCCAAGCAAATGCATGTATAGGGGAAACGAAATTCTCAAAACGCCGTAACTCGCGCTCTGAATGTTCAAACAACGCGAAATTTTTTGATGTAGACGAAGATTTCAATTCTGGGATCCATTTCTGCCAAATATGAAAATGGGAAATCGATAACGCGAACGTGCATGGATCGGAGAACAAGATGAGATTTGTATGATGAGTCCCATTATTTTGATAGCCGGCCCGTCGTTCTTAGGTTTTATGCTTAAATTATCTCTGTTATAAACCCGCGTTAACAGGAATTATTAAATTGTAATCATCTAAACTACATAGTCATAAATTCTGGACATACGTACCTCTATAGTGATCTTAACCTCTGAACACAGCCACAAAATTTGCAAACCGACGTTAACGATGTTGCTTGCTGTTTTGCTTAATTCACGCAGAAATTGAAATTTATAATCACACAAAGGATGCATTCTCGTACCCAGAGCCTACTTACGCGCGTTCGACCGAGCACGACGAGGGGCTGTGGCCAAATCCATAACCGGATACCATAAAAACATGGTAAGAAAACAATATCCGGTGTTAGCCAATCAGATGCCAGTTCGGATACGGATTTGGCCAGAGCCCCTCGTCGCACCGCGCGTAAGAAGGGCTCTGGGTGCGAGAATGACAAAGGATTTTACAGTCTTCCCAGAGTGCGTTGCGCAGTGTGCAGTAATCATTAATAGTAATATGAAAGAGTATGAAGATTTTAGACGGGCAAAATATCTGAAATGTATCAATCGAGTATATTTGCTATAAATTAATATTATGTGCAGACACAACAATTTGTGTCCTGCAATTTATAAAAAATAAACCGATACAACTAAACGACATTGACAACCACAATATGAAGAAAATGAATATTCATACAACTAAAAGATGTGGAAACGGAAGTAAATTATGTCCGGAAAAAATTTTTTTAAACAGTATATGAAAATTTTTTATCCTAATTATAATAAGTAATTAACAAATATGATACATAATATAACAAAACCTAGAAAGTTAAACAAATAATTTATTAAGCCTGTTTGTTCAACCTTGTCCAACTTATTTTGTATTGTAAAACGCACTTTTAAGTAACTAATAACGGTAATTCGACTGAGTGGAGTGCAACTGTCTGAAATTATACGCGTGAATACAAAAAAATTAACATTTCTATATTGTGGCTTAGTGAACAACCTGAAAATGGCCTCTGAGACATTGTTTTACCAAAATACTAAATTATAGGCCTGAGGTGTGCAAGGTACAGTTCCGTAATGCAAGATTTGAAGAAATTATGATAAGATACATTCGTCATTTTGCTTTTCATCGTCATCACTCTGGTTCCACCATGTTGGATGCGGCTTTGCTTCTCTTTGTCTTCTTTCCTCTTCTTCTCTTTCTCTTTCCCGTCGTTCCCTTTCCTCTCTTTCCCTTTCCTGTCGCTCCCATTTAGATCTTTCCTCTTTTTCACGTGCCTCTTTTTCCTTTTTTTTCTGTTTCTTCTTGCGCCTCTTTTTCTCTTCTTCCTTATCCTCTTCGTCCCATTGTTTTTCTAATTCCTTTTGTCGTTGTTTCTTCTCTTCTTTCCGTCTCTGCTTTTCGGCTGCACTCTGAAGAAACCGTAGGAAAAAGCATTAAAGTAAAATGCTACTCGAATGCAGCAGATTATGGGTTGAAGCAGATTATGAAGCAGATTATGGGTTGTTCTAACCAATCTGTTTTTAAAGTAGATAATAGCTAAGGCTCTCCTTACCATTTTCAGATCTTCAGATTAAATCACTTATTTTCTGTCTCTCAGATATATACCTTACAAAAGTGGATAAAAAGTCGTTAATATATTGTTTATTAATTTGTTTATTGAGTTTCTCACTCATTGGAGCGTGCATGGATCTCCCAACAGACTAGTGTCCAATTGATAGGGGATCCGAAGTCCATACGATTTAAAAACCGCGAAAGTCTAACCATTTACTGATGTCAATGTAAAGGTAACTCTTTCTTCTCAATAATTTCAAGACTTTGAGTATATAGAGGTCCAACCAAGAATTGAACCCGGGTCTCCCAACTTGAAAGCAAGCTTATACCAGCCGAACGTCGGCATTTATACGAGTAAAAATAAGCTGCGGTGAAAATAAGCCCGGAATTGAAAGCTAGACCTAAATAAGCCAAGGCTAATTGCAAATTGTCTGTTTACACGAGTTGTTCGCGACATATTTTATTTAAGCCGCGGCTTATTTTCGCTCGTATAAATGGTTCTATAATTTTCCTGACCATGCACATGTTTTAGAAATAAGTAAAATTTCACACCGTGTATGTAATATATTTACCATAGACATGGATTAAAGCTATGATGATTAAAGCAGTTAGGAATGATTAAAGGTGATCTACAGTCCGTATGTAAACAAAGCCTTTGTTTACATTTTTGTGTCCAAAATATTGAGCTTTATTCGACAACTATTTATATTTTCAAGCTTCTAGAGTATAATAAATGATCAAGAAACAACAATTAGGCTTTTCAAGAACTCAAAACATAGTTAAACTGTTTGTATCATAAAAAGTGGGCTCATTTGTGCACATGCGCAGATCGGACTGTAGATCACCTTTAAACTGTCTTACAATTACATATCCTCAAACGTCATATATAATTCATTTTACACTGCGCAGTTTTACTCTCACTTTCAGCCCCTTTAGCTCTTACCTATTTCGTCGACCAATCTTCGATCGTTCGCGTTTGTGTTCTGTACACTTTTACAAAGCGTAAATAAAAAAAATGTCAATGTAAATAAAAACACAGAAAGTATCAAACAGACATAAATAACTCAGAATAAATACGAAATTTCGACGGGTATGTTAAACAAACAACCAATAATTAAGAAAGCTTATCGGATTGATATAGGGATTCAACTACCTGAAAAATACAGGGAGAACTTCGACGTTTGAGAGAAGGCCCTTAATTCGTCTGGAACAAGGGTCTTCGTTGGAAACCTCGAAATTCTCCGTCTCCGACGAAGGGCCTTCGCTCGAAACGTCGAAGTTCTCCTTGAATTTTTCAGATAGTTGAATCCCTATATCAATCTGTAGCTTATACATCTTTCTTCACATTGCATTATTGTCACTACCTATACATTGGCACAGACCATATACCAATAATTAACATATTGGGAAAGTGAATTTTTTTCTGTGTTGGTGTAGTGTACTCAGGTGAATATGATATTTGTGGTGTTACTCTGAGTGTATATCCACACCGGGCGAGCTTGAAAAATATGCCCGGCCACGGTGGGATTCGAACCCACGACCTTTGGAATACTAGCCCAATGCTCTTCCAACTGAGCTACGCGGTCAGGACGGTTCGAGTAAGTGATATTTCGGAACAGAATCTAGTTCCTTCGATACCAATGTATTCTAGTAATATGAATTTTTTTCTGTATTCCAAAGGTATTCCAAAGGTCGTATGTTCGAATTAGTATTCCAAAGGTCGTAGGTTCGAATCCCACCGTGGCCGGGCATATTTTTCAAGCTCGCCCGGTGTGGATATACACTCAGAGTAACACCACAAATATCATATTGGGAAAGTATTGAGACATATACATGTTTTATCAGATATAAAGCGCGAGGCGCAGTATAGAATATAGAGGACGGCATGAACAACAAACTATTGTCTTATATAATACTTTTTGTTTGTGGAAACTTCACGTAAATTAAATTACTGCAAAGCTTTCGATCCGTAAGCCCGGATCTTCATCGGTGCTAATAGTAGTATTAGCACTGATGAAGATTCGGGCTTACGGCTTTGCAGTAATAAACTTACGTGGTGTTTCCACAAGCAAAAAGTATTATATGTTTTCTCGCCATGCAATCCTACAAAGAAAATATTGTCTTGTTCTAACCATAGTATGACTTGAATTTCAGTAGCTTAACGTCCCTACGTTCTACCATTTACAAGAGCTCTACTAAAGCTCGTTACTTTGTCACAGTCGAAATGCTAGCTTTGTATCGAAAAGGTGAAAGTTTGCCTTCGCTGTACGAAACTGTGTAAAACTTTCTCAAGACTTCTAAGTATAAAGCTAAATGATCATTTGGTTTCATTGTTTTAAAACCCGATGTTTTTCTTCGACTTCGAATTCATGCCCAAGTTATTTATGTTAACCCATATTGACTGTAAAGTGAACTGTAAGTACCTATAACTGGTCATAAATTATAGTCATACATACCTTTGTCCTTACCTCTGAATACAGGCTCAAAAATTGTTGCTATTTTGCTTACAACGCAAAATTTTGACGTTTTCAGCGTCTATTATGCGAGAGATCTCGTCCGGAAAATCAAGCAATTTACAATCATGCACCCCGTGATCTCTACGACTCTAACATTATTGCACCGTGAAATATAAGTGAATGAATGTATACAGCGCACTAGATCCTCTGAATAACAATCAGGAACATCTCAAAGCAACAAGTCGAGCTTAGATTATTATGATCAAAATCATAAAACAGTAGCAAACATATTTACAAGGGAAAAAAATAATTAGGCCTACGTATAAAACGTATGTACTGAAGTATATGTATGCATATATGCATATATGCATGCATACGTTCTGTTGATAGCGTTCATTGTCTACCATCATGTCTTGTGAAAGCAGTGATCATGTAGCACCACCACCAGAACTCAATTTCACTCTCGTAACACAGAGGGAAATTAACAGCACACCACATGACTGGTCAAGTGCTGAGATTCAGTCGCAACTACCAACAGATATTCTGCTAATAACAGCAAATGATCATGAATTCAATGCTTGCTATTCATATATGAAAGATGTCCGACGAGGTTATTCTACGAAACTAGGAATGGTAGATTTTGGTCAGTTCGGTGATCAGAGTAATGAGAATGTGAAGGTGGCGCTGATAAAATGTGCACAGGGATCGAGCAAAGCTCAGACAGCTGTCACAAATGCTGCTGGGATTTTATACCCCAAAGTCGTTCTTTTCGTCGGGCTGTGTGCAACTATGAAACCGACGAAGGCAAAACTTGGTGATGTCGTGATTTCCGCCAAATTGGCCACTTATGATAATAAGAAAGTCATGGCAGATGGCAGAGATCTGTATCGTGGCATTAAAGTGAACGTTAGTAAAAATATGGCAGATCTAATTCTACATGCAGACGATGGTTGGGAACCACCGCTAAAAGACCCGAGCAGTTTAAAATTTGAAGTTCATCGAGACGCTGTGATGTTGAGTGGCCCGGAGTTAGTCGACTATCGTGAAAGACGAGAAGAATTACTGAATTCTTTTCCCGATGCACTTGGTCTTGAAATGGAGGGTAAAGGTAAGTAGGGATCTTCCACATCATTCGCCGTCTATAAAGCCATAACGTTTTAAACCGGTTCATAGATTTGTCAATTGTTAAATAGAATTCTAGAAGACAATTGTTACGTCCACTTGTTCATGAGTATTCATCTATATATGTGTTAAAATTACAGGTCTATACGAAGCGGCGTATAACCTCAGTATTGAATGGGCTGTTATTAAGGCAGTGTCAGATTTCGCAGATGGAAGTGAAGAAAGGACAAAACTTTGGCAGCCATTTTCTAGTGCAATAGCGGCATCTGTTGTATACAATATGTTCAAATACCCCGTTGTACTACGACATTGGCCTCACCACAAAGAAACGGAAGACCCAAAAGGTATAGTTATTTTTAGACCGGAATGAAACTGGAATTATTCTCAATGCAGCCAGTTTATAATTGCCTATTTATATTTATCTTCTATAGTCAACCGCAAAGAAAAAAAAAAGGAGAAAAAAAAGCAGAAAAAAAGTGATTTTAATGACATTGAAACTGGACATGTAAGTATCAGTACAATTAAATTTTAAGACTCGCTACCAATCCCCATCGACAGCTCAATGGGTAGAGTGGTGGGCTAGAAACCCGAATATACGAGTTTGAATCCCGCTCGCGAGACAACGCATTTTTCGCTCTATCTGCTGTGTCAGAATAAATGCGAAACTAGTTTTTCGTATCTTTTAGTAAGAGAGCTTAGCTTATTATGATCAAAATCATAAAACGGTAGCAAATATATTTACGGGGAAAAAATAATTACGTAAAGGCGTATATGTATGCTTTTTTGCACATATGTATGCATACTTCTGTTGATAGCATTCATTATCTACCATCATGTCTTGTGAAAGCAGCGATCATCTAGCACCACCACCAGAACTCAATTTCACTCTCGATATACGCATTGACGTCATATACAACGATGACTCATCGTTATCATCATCTCTTGTGAAGGTATAGCACCACCACCAGAACTCAATTTCAAACTCCCACTAGAGAGTGATTTTGATAATGAACCATATGACTGGTCGAGAAATGAGATTCAGTCACAACTACCGACATATATTCTGCTAATAACAGCAAATGATCATGAATTCAATGCTTGCTATTCATATATGAAGCATATGGCCTTATATACATGAAGCTACCCATACATGAAGCACGTTTATAAAATAACATGTATATAACGCGTATTCTGATTGGTCGAAAGCCGTGTTTGGATCAGGCCATCCAAACACGGAAGACTACCGTGTTGTTGTTATTTTATAAAACAATTACTTTATGGTTTCCGTGTTTGGATGGACTGATCCAAACACTTGGGAATGTTGCTCGAGTTAAGAAAAGCGGGCAAAATCACTCGCCTTCGGCTCGTGATTTCGCTCGCTTTTCTTAACTCTCGCAACATTCCCGCGTGTTTGGATCAGGCCATCCAAACACGGAAACCATAAAGTAATTGTATATTCTCGCATCTCTTAGTAAGAGATATGAAATCATCTTTAATCATCTTCCTTCTTTCCTTCACTGAATTCTCTCTGCCTTGCTCCCCTTCCTCCATTTCTAACGTCTATTCTCTTGGCTTATATTTCAGAAAATGCATAATGGCCGCACAATTGAGTACTCAGTCACATCGCGAGATTTCTTTGATTACGATGAGTACGATGCGAAAGTGAGAGATGTTGCAACTGGTGAAACGGCAGAGCGGACACTTTGTTTCACCAAAAAAGGGGCGATGGATGGAGCAATCGAAGACTTATTCAAGCAACTCAGGGAGAAAAAATTAATATAAGTTTAATTAACATATATCCCGTTTACATTGTCTTCAGTAGTGAATCGTTCAACATATTTGCACTGTATATGCATGCAATGTAAATATATATAACATTGTGTTTTTAATCTTAACTTTGCATGAAGGTATATACGTACAAAGCCCATAAATGTCTACATAATTGTAAATTATTGTAATCTCATGTCAATTCAGCATTTCGGTAAAAATTAAGAATGACATAGTGACATAATTTCACAAACACTTTGTTTTTGCTTTGTCCTTTCGTTGTTCTAATGACATATTTCCACATATAGACGATGCTAGGACAAATGGCATTAAATGAAATTGATTAAAAAAATATTAGCAAAAATTCTCAACGTTAAAGATAAGAAAAGTAACGGAGATTGGTTTGAATATAATCGTTTGAATGTGGTATGGCAAGAATGCACATTACTTAAACATTGGTGGGCATCAAGCCGCGCGGCGCGAGAAAGGCTCTTCGTGAAATTGGTAGATACGATTTAGCGCGATGTCTTTTAAAAAAGACAGGTGACATTTTGTACCTCCAGAAGACTAGAAGAAATGAAATAGGTGACCGTTCTCTACAGTACTTTCCTCAACAGAACGAGGAATTTCGAGTGTTTCCTGATTGCACTGGGAATCTATTTTCATCACATGTTCAGATGTTCTGACAGAACTACAAATTGCTCTTGTATGTTCCTTGCGAAAGAGTGTCCGAATCCGAGCTATTTCGCTTTGATTCTTTCCTTCGTCGATGACTATCCGATTCCGCGCAAGAGGACGACCGATGCCGCTTCCGTGATGAAGATTTGCGAGCTCAGACCATAGAAATAATAGACATAATAGAAGTAATGTCTATTAAATAATAAGCAATTATTGGATGAGGCTGAGCATGATATCAAGAATTATTCAGACCGAGGTCAATGTTATCTGCCGAAGCGAAGCTGAGGCGGATAACATAGACCGAGGTCTGAATAATTCTTGATATCATGCGAAAGCCGAAACCAATAATTGTTTTATTATACATTTAAGACATGAGAAAGGTATAAAACGATTCCTGTTCATGAGGTAGGAAAAGTACAATTTGATATCAAACACCTTGCACAAAATCAAAGGTCAGCTAAATATTCTATTTCTACTTCTATTTACCCCTTTGTGGCTTTTTTCGTGCTTTCACTATCCTTATCTGCCAATAATTTGGAGAGTTCACTTTCATTCAGCGAAGCAAATCTGCTGTAGGCCATTGTTTAATTTGTTTGTTGTTTTTTTTCGCGCGCTTATCAATCTCGTTCCCCGAGCATGCCCGTTCGTAGGTTAAGGGTGGGCATAGCTCTGGAGAAATCGAATTGATTCAGGCCTGTGATTGGCTAACGGCAGATAGTACGTTGGATTTCCAACGTGAGTTCTATACAAACAAAGTATTTAGAATTTCTCGTCGAAAATTTGATACTTTTTACACCGAAATCGATTGAAAACAACTAGAAATTCTGGAGGAAATATGTACGAAAGCTGCGGATTGATATGGATACAACTACCTGAAAAATACAAGGAGAACTTCGACGTTTCGAGCGAAGGCGCTTCGACTTGTGCTGTTAGTGTTGTATACATCGTACTTGACCTTTTATATACTGTCATACCTAACACTACATATACCATAAATTCTGACAGGAGAGTTACATGTAAATTTTAAAGCATAAAAATACATAATACTTATTATTGAGGAGATTATATTTATCAGCAAAGGTCAAGTACGATATAAACAAACACTATTTACAGTACAGATCGAAGCGTCTTCGCTGGAAACGTCGAAGTTCTCCTTGTATTTTTCGGGTAGCTGTATCCCTACCCAATCGAAGCTTTCGTACATATTTCTCCCAGATTTTTTAGTTGTTTTCAATTCGATTTCAGTTTAAAATGTATCAAATTTTCGACGCGAAATTATAAAAACTTTATTTATATTTTGCAACATTGCCGAGCATGCGTAGAACTCAAGTTGGAAATTCAACGTGAATCAATTCGATTTCTCCAGAGCTATACCCACTCTTAACCTGCGAACGGGCATGCTCGGGGAACGAGATTGCGCGCTTATGGGTTCAAGCTTTTAGCCGCGCAAGGGCTTGGGCCCAAGAGAGTCCAATAATTTTTTTTGGATGCAAGTTCGATCCAAAAAAACAATTATTGGACGCTGATGACGTCATCGGCGGAAAATACGTAATAAATACCGAATACTGAAAATTAGCCGGTGCTTTCTGACCAATTAGAAACGAGAATACATATTAAATGTATAATAATTAACAATTATTGGATGAGGTTTTTGTGATATGCGGAATTATCAAGGTCGAGGTAAGCGTTATCAGCCGAGCCGAAGGCGAGGCTGATAACGCTTACCGAGACCTTGATAATTTTGCATATCGCAAAAACCGAATTCAATAATTGTTTTATTATACATTTGAAAAATAATAAACATAGTATTTTAATATTTTAATTTTTTTGCGATATGCAAAATTATCAAGGTCTCGGTAAGCGTTATATTCAATATGATTTCTGGCGAAGCTGTTCAAGTAAAACGTTTCTATAAACAAGTCTCCGGAAGTCCAACAGTTAAATTAATTACAAATATAGAAGAAACATATTATCGTTAAGATGTTAACGTATTAAAATATTTACTTGTTAAAGTAAACATTACAATTATGAAATGTACATTCATTTGAAAATTGAAATGTACACTCATTTGAAATGTACACTCATTCAACCTCACGCAACCTACACAAAATTCAGTTATCTGCTAGCAGATAACTGAGTTATCTGCTAGCAGATAACTGAATTTTGTGTAGGTTGCGTGATTTAACTGTAAGCTCTTAGCCAATCAAATTGCTTTTACCCACTACAATGTATAATAATGTCTATTATTTCTATGGCTCAGACCATGGCTCAGACCTTAGCACTGCGGAAAGGAAAAATAGGTACGCATTGCGTACATGGGCTAGTCTGTTATTACCTCTTGCTGCTGATAAAGTGACTGGACAAAGCAACTCCTGATTTGTTGAAGGGTTCAATTTTATACATGGGATTTTGAGGGAACACTATATAGCTGAAAAAGGTCTGATCCCTGATCATCCTCTACACAACTATATTTCGAGAGTAAAACATAGTCTACTGTATATTAAAGTGCCTATAAACCCAAAACAGGGGCGTAAGTTTGGACCAGCCTGCCCCTGGTCCTACCGGAATTGGGTGCCCCAAGGCAGGGGTATCCTAGATCCATTTGAAGTACCATGAAGTTCTTACAATATGAACATTTTGCTGGTCGTTTAGAAGCGAATTTTAATGGTATCTTGAACTGGAAACATAAATATATAGATTATAGTAAAATATACAACAAAAAACCACAACTATGCAGAAATAACACCATACAGAAATTGTGTTTGACATAAACAGTGAAATGTTTGCCACTGTACTTATGCACGTACAACCTTAGATGAACAAGGTCCCCGGACAACTCAGTTCAGGGTGCCCCCTGGAAGCTCCCGGCTCTTACCGGGTAGAGCTCATAGGAGTTACGCCACTGACCAAAATGGGCGTGCGAAAGTTTCGTATTTTCTTTAAATCAAGAAATACGCAATTATGGCTTTTTGCCACAAATCTATGCCTAATATTTTCCAGGAAGTTCGTGTGAAGTATGTAAAGACAAAGACGGATCATCTTTCAAGATTAACTACGCACGCGAGTTTGAGTAGATACCTGTACCATTTTATTCGTGTTTGGACTACCTATCTACAAAGGGTGAACATGGATAAATATGGTAAATGAGCCGCAATGAGGATTCTTGTAAAAGTCATGAATAATTAATAAGGCTACAAACAAATCACGACGCGGTATTTAGGTCACATGTTAGAGGGGATGTTTATGAAAGTTATGAATACTAATTCAGAAGCAGGAGTGTTTATGAAAGTTATCAATATTAGTTCAGATTTTAAACGCATGCTAATGAAGCGTTAGATTGTCCCCATGGCCAAGGGCAGTGAATACTAATAAAGTGAACAAATATAATTCATTTTACAAGTACGTTAAAATATTTCCAACTGATCTTTATGGGATGCCCATAATTGCATAAAGATCAGCTGCTCATATTTTATTAATATAGTTCTTAATTTTTAGGTTTAATGCAGCTGCGTATGATCTTGGCATAGAACGGGCAGTTGTTAAAGGAGTGTCAGATTTTGCCGATGGAAATAAATCAGCGCCAGAAGATGGCAGCCATTTGCCGGTGCAATGGCGGCATCTGTTGTCCACAACATGTTTGCGGAATATCCTGATGTAATACGGCAATAGCCTCACTATAAAAAGCCTGTACAAGGAGCAGCGAGTACGGCAGGTAATTAATGTATACTGCGAGAGCGTATTCTTCAATATTTGTAAAGATATGAATGATATTTGGTGAGAAAAATTAACTCAAAGATAATGTAAATCAACAGGATTTATCACAATCTTTACGGTCACAATTTCCGTTATGTATTGTTGAATGAGAATTACAAGTAGCTATACTGCTGATTAGGAATCAGACTGAGAATTTTATATGCAGTTTATAATTGTCTATTTATATTCTTGTCTTGATAGTCACTCCTGCAGCGAATAACTCACCCACTCCATCTCTTCCCATTGAGCAGTTGCTTAGAAGCATTGCTGGCACAACAGAAGGCAGAGTACGTATCAATACAATTAAATTTCATCTTCTTCATTCCTTTCTAATTCCATCGTTCCCTCCATCCTTCGTTTCTTCCATCTATCATTCACTTCTTCTTTTGATCCTTTCTTCGTGCATGAATCCTTATTTCCTTCCTGCCTTTCACCCTTCAGTTTTCCTTCTTATCTTCTAAATTGTTTATCATAGAAACACGAATTCTGTCCATCTATATTTCCATCCTTCCTTCTTCTCTTCGTATCTACTCTGCTCTCACTCTTCCTACTCCGCTCTTTCCCTCCCTCTCGTCCTCCCAGTCTTCTTCCTTCCCCCTTCTCTCCCTCCTTTTCCAATATTCATTCTTTCCTCTCCCAGACTCCCTCCCTCTTCTCTTCCTCCTTGTTTGCTTTCTTCCCCCTTTCTCCCTTCTCTCCCTATACTTTCTTCTTCCCCTCCCAACCTTCCTCCCTCTCCCTGTTTCCCCCTTCCCCCTTCTCTACCTCCTCTCCCTATACTTCTTCTTCCCCTCCAAGCCTTCCTCTCTCTCCCTTCCTCCCTTTCCCCTCCCTCCCTCTCCCCATCTTCATTTCTAATGTCAACTTCTATTTTAGAAAATGTATAATGGTCGCACGATCGAGTATTCTGTTTCAGGAAGATTTCATTCCCTGAGAGAACCTTGGGTATATGATGGAACAGCCAGGGATGTCGCAACTGGAGAAACTGTAGAGAAAAAGCATTTTAAAACGGCAGATTGGGCGATCAACGGAACTATTGAAGAGTTAGTGAAGAAACTCAAGGAACGCAAATTAATAAAAGATTAATCAACGCACATACTGGATTACTTAATAGTAAACTTGCATGTAATATATGAAAAAATTTTATCTTAAGTTTTCAGTGATTGCGTTAGCATGGCTTTTGCATGTACTGTACGATCACCATTCATTACTGTGAAAAGAGGAAATTTTCTCGATTAAGACACGACAGTAAAATGCACTGCTCTTCTGGTGAAATTGCATGAACAATTGAAATTGTTGACTAGGAGAACGAAAATTCTTTCTCAGCCTGGTAATTCTAATTATTCAAGTTTATTAGCTTTCTTAATAGAATTGTGGAAAGCTACACTATACCAATTCCACAAGCGGTAAATAATTCTTGCTTAAGCCTGTTAAGGAAGACAGTTTGTTGCATGTTTAATTAAAATAAGTAAGCAAAACAACGTTTTTAAAAAGTCAAAATACGACAAACAGTTATGACAAGAACAAAGACAATACACAAGGCAACAAAACATAAAAATTAAACAAATAATTTAGAACTTGTTGAGTCTGTTTGTTCAATCTTGTCCAATTTATTTTTTTTTACTTTAGCTACGTTTCGGATAGTTTACTACCCGTCCTCAGGCTATTTACACCTGTAACATTATGACAAAATACATTCTTCTTGCTTTGCTTCTACTTGCAATCCACCTTGACTTCTTCCTCGATTTCCTCTTCGACTTCTGCTTTCTCTCACTTTTACATAAGTTATTTCTTTATTCCCTTCGGGGCCTTCATTTACATAAATTTTCGTGACTTCTCTCTCCCACGTTTCCTCATCATCATCGTATTGATTCATGCTTCCTTGTCCATATCTTTGTATCTCACGTCCACTCTGAAAAAATTGTGGGGGAAAATTGAAACCAAAATTCATGTGAAACGTCACCCTGTATAGTATATGTAAAGTCCAAATGACGCTATAAAGCCAATTAACTAATAAATTGGTTGTTTCAAATTCAAAATAAATCAATTTATGGGTTGATTTAGCCAATTTGTTTTAATTTACAGAGTGGATAACAATTAAGGCTCTCCCTACCATTTTTAGATCTTCTGGTGAAATCCCTCACTCTTAGCTTTCGTGTCTCTCAGATATATGCCTTATAAAAGTAGATAAAAGATGTTAATACACAAATTAAATTATTTGATCTGTAAAATTTGAGGAGGCAAAGAGAACGATACTAACGTGTCCATAGTTGTTTCTGCACACGAATAAAAAACTTTGATATTTGAGGATACTATACATTTAACCAAATATTCAGAGGCAACTAGTTTTTTATATTAAAATTACTGTCAACCATTTTGCTGACCACAATTCCAAATACAATCACGTTTTGTATCTAATACATTTATCATAAATAAAGATTAAAGCATGAGGAACTATATACAACTTACTACTGCTACTATTAACCAATCAGATGCGTTTAATCTACCCGAATTACAAATCAAATGCGAATTAAACCTGCAGTGGGAAGTAGCGGAAGTCAAATCTGAACCTCTTTAAGTAAAATTTTGACGACGTATCATTGTTTTTGCACTGCGCAATTTCACTTTCACTATCAGTCTTCAATTTTCAATCCTAGATCGTTTGTGTTCTATATATACTTTTACAAAACAATTGAAGAGAAAGAGAAAAGTTCATAAGAAAAGCTATGAAAATTTTTGAATATATAAATGTTTTCTATGCAGCGGAAATTCCAAGCAAATGCATGTATAGGGGAAACCAAATTTTCAAAACGCCGTAACTCGCGCTCTGAATGTCCAAACAACGCGAAATTTTTGATGTAGACGAAGATTTCAATTCTGGGATCCATTTCTGCCAAATATGAAAATGGGAAATCGATAACGCGAACGTGGATCGGAGAACAAGATGAGACTTGTATGATGAGTCCCATTATTTTGATAGCCGGCCCGTCGTTCTTAGGTTTTATGCTTAAATTATCTATGTTATAAACCCACGTTAACAGGAATTATTAAACTGTAATCATCTAAACTACATGGTCATAAATTCTGGACATACGTACCTCTATAGTGGTCTTAACCTCTGAACACAGCCACAAAATTTGCAAACCAACGTTAACGATGTTGCTTGCTGTTTTGCTTAATTCACGCAGAATTTGAAATTTATAATCACACAAAGGATGCATTCTCGTACCCAGAGCCTACTTACGCGCGTTCGACCGAGCGCGACGAGGGGCTGTGGCCAAATCCATAACCGGATACCATAAAAACATGGTAAGAAAACAATATCCGGTGTTAGCCAATCAGATGCCAGTTCGGATATGGATTTGGCCAGAGCCCCTCGTCGCACCGCGCGTAAGAAGGGCTCTGGGTGCGAGAATGACAAAGGATTTTACAGTCTTCCCAGAGTGCGTTGCGCAGTGTGCAGTAATCATTAATAGTAATATGAAAGAGTATGAAGATTTTAGACGGGCAAAATATCTGAAATGTATCAATCGAGTATATTTGCTATAAATTGATATTATGTGCAGACACAACAATTTGTGTCCTGCAATTTATAAAAAATAAACCGATACAACTAAACGACATTGACAACCACAAGATGAAGAAAATGAATATTCATACAACTAAAAGATGTGGAAACGGAAGTAAATTATGTCCGGAAAAATTTTTTTTAAACAGTATATGAAAATTTTTTATCCTAATTATAGTAAGTAATTAACAAATATGATACATAATATAACAAAACATAGAAAGTTAAACAAATAATTTAAGCCTGTTTGTTCAACCTTGTCCAACTTATTTTGTAAAACGCACTTTTAAGTAACTAATAACGGTAATTCGACTTAGTGGAGTGCAGCTGTCTGAAATTATACGCGTGAATACAAAAAAATTAACATTTCTATATTGTGGCTTAGTGAACAACGTGAAAATGGCCTTTGAAACATTGTTTTACCAAAATACTAAACTAAAGGCCTGAGGTGTGCAAGGGACAGTTTCGTAATGCAAGATTTGAAGAAATTATGATAAGATACATTCGTCATTTTGCTTTTCATCGTCATCACTCTGGTTCCACCATGTTGGATGCGGCTTTGCTTCTCTTTGTCTTCTTTCCTCTTCTTCTCTTTCTCTTTCCCGTCGTTCCCTTTCCTCTCTTTCCCTTTCCTGTCGCTCCCATCTATATCTTTCCTCTTTTTCACGTGCCTCTTTTTCCTTTTTTTCTTGTTTCTTCTTGCGCCTCTTTTCCTCTTTTTCCTTTTTAATAGGATAAAGCAGATTATGGGTTGAAACAGATTATGAAGCAGATTATGGGTGTTCTAACCAATCTTTTTTTAAAGTAGATAATAGCTAAGGCTCTCCTTACCATTTTCAGATCTTCAGGTTAAATCACTTTTTCTGTCTCTCAGATATATACCTTACAAAAGTAGATAAAAAGTCGTTAATATATTGTTTATTAATTTGTTTATTGAGTTCCTCACTCATTGGAGCGTGCATGGATCTCCCAACAGACTATATTGCGCAATTGATAGGGGATCAGAAGTCCATACGATTTAACGTTATTATATGAGGCCGCGAAAGTCTAACCATTTACTGATGTCAATGTAAAGGTAGCTCTTTCTTCTCAATAATTTCAAGACTTTGAGTAGAGGTCCGACCAAGGATTGAACCCGGGTCTCCCAACTTGAAAGCAAGCTTATACCAGCCGAACGTCGGCATTTATACGAGTAAAAATAAGCCGCGGTTAAAATAAGCCCGGGGTTGAAAGCTAGGCCTAAATAAGCCAAGGCTAAATGCAAATTGCCTGTTTACATGAGTTGTTCGCGACTTATTTAAGCCGCGGCTTATTTTCGCTCGTATAAATGGTTCTATAATTTTCCTGACCATGCACATGTTTTAGAAATAAGTAAAATGTCACACCGTGTATGTAATATATTTACCATAGACATGGATTACAGCTATGATGATTAAAGCAATTAGGAATGATTAAACTGTCTTACAATTACATATCCTCAAACGTCATATATAATTCATTTTGCACCGCGCAGTTTTACTTTCACTGTCAGCCCCTTTAGCTCTCACCTATTTCGTCGACCAATCTTCGATCGTTTGCGTTTGTGTTCTGTACACTTTTACAAAGCGTAAATAAAAAAAATGTCAATGTAAATAAAAACACAGAAAGTATCAAACAGATATAAATAACTCGGAATAAATACGAAAGTTCGACGGGTATGTTGAACAAACTGACCAGTAATAAAGAAAGCTTCGAATTGATATAGGGATTCAACTACCTGAAAAATACAAGGAGAACTTCGACGTTTGAGAGAACGCCCTTAATTCGTCTGGAAGAAGGCTCTTCGTTGGAAACCTCGAAATTCTCCGTCTCCGACGAAGGGCCTTCGCTCGAAACGTCGAAGTTCTCATTGAATTTTTCAGATAGTTGAATCCCTATATCAATCTGCAGCTTATATATCTTTCTTCACATTGCATTATTGTCACTACCTACATTGGCACGTACCAATAATTAAGATATTGGGAATGTATTGAGGCATATACAGAATATAGAGGACGGCATGAACAACAAATCATTGTCTTATAATACTTTTTGTTTGTGGAAACTTCACGTAAATTAAATTACTGCAAAGCTTTCGATCCGTAAGCCCGGATCTTCATCGGTGCTAATTCGGGCTTACGGCTTTGAAGTAATAAATTTACGTGGTGTTCCACAAGCAAAAAGTATTATATGTTTTATCGCCATGCAATCCTACAAAGAAAATATTGTCTTGTTCTAACCATAATATGACTTGAATTTCAGTAGCTTAACGTACCATTTACAAGAGCTCTACTAAAGCTCGTTACTTTGTCACAGTCGAAATGATAGCTTTGCATCGAAAACGTGAAAGTTTGCCTTCGCTGTACGAAACTGTGTAAAACTTTCACAAGACTTCTAAGTATAAAGCTAAATGATTATTTAGTTTCATTGTTTTGAAAGCCGAAGTTATTTATGTTAACCCATATTGACTGTAAAGAGAACTGTAAGTACCTATATATACTGGTCATAAATTATAGTCATACATACCTTTGTCCTTATCTCTGAATACAACCACAAAAATCGCTCAATAACGTTGCTATTTTGCTTACAACGCAAAATTTTGACGTTTTTAGCGTCTATTATGCGAGAGATTTCGTGCGGAAAATCAAGCAATTTACAATCATGCACCCCGTGATCTCTACGGCGACTCTAACATTATTACAACATGGTCATGGAACTCTAAGAAAATGAATGTAGCTATACAGCGCATTAGATCCTCTGAATAACAATCAGGAACATCTCAAAGCAACAAGTCGAGCTTAGATTATTAGATTATTATGATCAAAATCATAAAACAGTATAGCAAATATATTTACAAGGGAAAGAAATTAATTAGGTAAAACGTATGTATGTATGCATATATGCACATATGCATGTATACTTCTGTTGATAGCGTTCATTGTCTGCCACCATGTCTTGCGAAAGCAGTGATCATGTAGCACCACCACCAGAACTCAATTTCACTCTCGTAACACAGAGGGAAATTAACAGCACACCACATGACTGGTCAAGTGACGAGATTAAGTCGCAACTACCAACAGATATTCTGCTAATAACAGCAAACGATCATGAATTCAATGCTTGCTATTCATATATGAAATATGTCCGACGAGGTTATTCTACGAAACTAGGAATGGTAGATTTTGGTCAGTTCGGTGATCAAAGTAATGAGAATGTGAAGGTGGCGCTGATAAAATGTGCACAGGGATCGAGCAAAGCTCAGACAGCTGTCACAAATGCTGCTGGGATATTATACCCCAAAGTTGTTCTTTTCGTCGGCCTGTGTGCAACTATGAAACCGGCGAAGGCAAAACTTGGTGACGTCGTGATTTCCGCCAAATTGGCGACTTATGATGATAAAAAAGTCATGGCAGATGGCAGAGATCAGTATCGTGGCATTAGAGTGAACGTTAGTAAAAATATGGCAGATCTAATTCTACATGCAGACGATGGTTGGGAACCACCGCTAAAAGACCCGAGTTGTTTAAAAGTTGAAGTTCATCGAGACGCTGTTATGCTAAGTGGTCCAGAGTTAGTCGACTATCGTGAAAGACGAGAAGAATTACTGAATTCTTTTCCCGATGCACTTGGTCTTGAAATGGAGGGTAAAGGTAAGTAGGAACATCCTACATCATTCGTCTATAAAGCTATAACGTTTTAAACCGGTTCATAGATTTGTCAATTGTTAAATCGAATTCTAGAAGACAATTGTTACGTCTTGTTCATGAATATTCATCTATATGTGTTTAAATTACAGGTCTATACGAAGCGGCGTATAACCTCAGTATTGAATGGGCTGTTATTAAGGCAGTGTCAGATTTCGCAGATGGAAATAAAGAGAGGACAAAACTTTGGCAGCCATTTTCTAGTGCAATAGCGGCATCTGTTGTATACAATATGTTCAAATACCCTGTTGTACTACGACGTTGGCCTCACCACAAAAAGATGGAAGACCCAAATGGTATAGTTATTTTTAGACCAGAATGTAACTGGAATTATTCACAATGCAGTTTATAATTGCCTATTTATATTTATCTTATATATAGTTAACCCCGAACCACTTCATGCTTATCAAAAGAAGTGGGGTAGTGTTTTTACTGACATTGAAACTGGACAAGTAAGTATCTGCAGTACAATAAAATTTTAAGACTCGCTACCAATCCCAGTTGTCTCGACAGCTAGCTCAATGGGGAGAGCGGTGGGCTAGAAACCCGAATATACGAGTTTGAATCCCGCTCGCGAGACAACGAATTTTTCGTTCTATCTGCAGTGCCAGAATAAAAGCGAAACTAGTTTTTCGTATCTTTTAATAAGAGAGCTTAGCTTATTATGATCAAAATCATAAAACGGTAGCAAATATATTTCCGGGAAAAATATATAATTACGTAAAAGCGTATGTATATGTATGCATATATGCACATATGTATGCATACTTCTGTTGATAGCGTTCACTGTCTACCACCACCACCAGAACTCAATTTCACTCTCGCTATATGCATTGACGTCTTATACAACGATGAATCATCGTTATCATCATGTCTTGTGAAGGTATAGCACCACCAGCAGCACTCAATTTCACACTCCCAATAGCGAGTGATTTTGATAGTGAATCATATGCACGACTGTTCAAGCAATGAGATTCAATCACAACTACCGACAGATATTCTGCTATAATAACAGCAAATGATCATGAATTCAATGCTTGCTATATGAAGCATATGGCCTTATATGCATGAAGCTACCCATACATGAAGCACGTCAGTTTTCGTATCTCCTAGTAAGAGATATGAAATCATCTTTAATCATCTTCCTTCTTTCCTTCAATTCTGTCTGTCTTGCTCCCCTTCCTCCATTTCTAACGTCTATTCTCTTGACTTATATTTCAGAAAATGCATAATGGCCGCACAATTGAGTACTCGGTCACAACGCGAGATTTATTTGATTACGATGAGTACGATGCGAAAGTGAAAGATGTTGCAACTGGTGGAACAGCAGAGCGGACACATTGTTTCACCAAAAAAGGGGCGATGGACGGAGCAATCGAAGACTTATTCAAGCAACTCAGGGAGAAAAAATTAATATAAGTTTAATAGTTTAATTAACATATATCCCGTTTACATTGTCCTCAGAATCAACATATTTATACTGTATATATACTGTATATATACTGTATATATACTGTATATATATATATATATATATACTGTATATATATATATATATACTATATATATATATATATACTGTATATATATATATATATACTGTATATATATATATATATATATATATATATATATATATATATATATATATATATATATATATATATATATATTCTTTATATATATATATATATATATATATATATATATATATATATATATATATATATATATATATATATATATATATATATATATATATATATATATATATATATATATATTTATATATATATATATGTATATATATATATATATAATTAATTCTTGTTGTCCGTAATTGAACGAAGAGTGCTCAATACCAATATACGATAGAGCTTAAATAATTCTTTAATCTTAAAATATATTTGTCGCTACACTGTGTTTCACGCTTCTTTCGAAGCGATCTTCAGGCGAAGAAGAAGATTTTCGCCTGAAGATCGCTTCGAAAGAAGCGTGAAACACAGTGTAGCGACAAATATATTTGAAGATATATATATATATATATATATATATATATATATATATATATATATATATATATATATATATATATATATATATATATATATATATATATATATGCATGCAATGTAAATAACATTGTGATTTTATCTTATGTTTTGAATGTATACAAAACCCCATACTGCATAATTGTAAATTATTGTAATCGCATGTTTAAAATTTCGGTAAAAATTAAGAATGACATAGTGACATAATTTCACAAACACTTTGTCTTTGCTTTGCCCTTTCGTTGTTCTAATGACATATTTCTACATATAGACGATGCTAGGACAAACATTAAATGAAATTGATTAAAAAATTCCCAAGCGAATGAAAAAGAGGGCCCCCTATACTTTTTGCGTGAAGCGTGAAGGGCTTATTTTACTTAGCCGTGAAACGTGATCGGGCCCCCTATACGTTTTGCGTGAAGGGCTTATTTTACTTAGCCGTGAAACGTGATCGATGATTTTCTTAATCCGCGACTCGTGAAAAGGCAAAATATTTTTACGTGAAAGCATATTGTGATGAGGTATAGGGGGCCCTCGAAAAATACTAGCAAAATTTATCAATGTTAAAGATAAGTAAAGCAACGGAGATTGGTTTGAATAATCATTTAAATGTGGTATGGCCAGAATGCACAATGCTTAAACATTGGTCGGCATCAAGCCACGCGGCGCGAGAAAGGCTCTGCGTGAAATTGGTAGATAAGATTTAGCGCGATGTCCTTTAAAAAAGACAGGTGACATTTTGTACCTCCAGAAGACTAGAAGAAATGAAATAGGTGACCGTTCTCGACAGTACTTTCCTCAACAGAACGAGGAATTTCGAGTGTTTGCTGATTGCACTGGGACTCTATGATGTTCTGACAGAGCTACAAATTGCTCCGGTATGTTTTTGCGAAAGAGTGTCCAAATCCGAGCTATTTCGCTTTGATTCTTTCTTTCGTCGATGACTATCCGATTCCGCGCAAGAGGACGAACGATGCCGCTTTCGTGATGAAGATTTGCGAGCTTAGACTTAGCACTGCGGAAAGGAAAAATAGGTACGCATTGCGTACATGGGCTAGTCTGTTATCTCTTGCCTGATAAAGTGACTGGGCAAAGCAACTCCTGATTTGTTGAAAGGTTCGATTTTATACATGGGATTTTGAATCAAGAAATACGCAAACTATTCCTTAAGGTGGAGTAATACGAGCAACATAATTGCTGGAACTTGCAACAAAATCTGATTTCAACGCATGTTAAGTAGAAATGTTGACACAATGTTGCCTTGTGATTTGTAATTTACGTGTACACGTTTTCAATTAACATGCGTAGAAATCAGATTTTGTTGCAAGTTGCAGCAATTTTGTTGCTCGTATTACTCCACCCTTACTTACATTTGCGATAATACGATAGGTTGGAATATTTGATATCGTTGATGTATAGATGTAGTTTACAAAACGAAGTTTATGGCTTTATGCCACAAATCTATATGCCCGATATTTTCCTGGAAGTTCTTGTGACGTATGTAAACACAAAGAAGACGGATCATCTTCCAAGATTAACTACGCACGTGAGTTTGAGTAGATACCTGTACCATTGAATTCGTGGATAAATTTGGTAAATGAGTCGCAATGAGGATTCTTGTAAAAGTCATGAACAATTAATAAGGCTACAAACAAATCACGACGCGGTATTTAGGTCATATGTGCACAAGATCAGAAAGTCATGTTAGAGGGGATGTTTATGAAAGTTATGAATACTAATTCAGAAGCAGGAGTGTTTATGAAAGTTATCAATATTAGTTCAGATTTTAAACGCATGCTAATGAAGCGTTAGATTGTCTCCATGGGCAGTGAATACTAATGAAGTAAACAAATATAATTCATTTTACAAGTACGTTGAAATATTCGCAACTGATCTTTATGGGATGCCCATAAAGATCAGCCGCTCATATTTTAACTGGTACTTAATTTTTAGGCCTATACGCAGCTGCCTATGATCTTGGCATAGAATTGACTGTTGTTAAAGGAGTGTCAGATTTTGCCGATGGAAATAAATCAGAGACAGAAGATTGGCAGCCATTTGCCAGTGCAATGGCGGCATCTGTTGTCCACAACATGTTTAAATTCCCTGATGTAATACGGCAATGACCTCACTATAAAAAGCCTGTACAAGGAGCCGCGAGTACGGCAGGTAATTAATGTATACTGCGAGAGCGTATTCTTCAATAATTTTATATCAGATACATTAGCTTTTTCACGATTTCCAAACTTGTGATTTGCTAAATGTGAATTACAAGTAGCTATAGTGCTGATTAAACTGGGATCAGATTGAGAATTTTATATGCAATTTATACAATTCTATTTATATTCTTGTCTTGATAGTCACTCCTGCAGCGAATAATTCATCCACTCCATCTCTTCCCATTGAGCAGTTGCTTAGAAGCATTGCTGGCACAACAGAAGGCAAAGTATGTATCAATGCAATTAAATTCATCTTCTTCATTCCTATCTCCATCTCCCTCCATCCATCCTTCCTTTCTTCCATCTATCATTCATTTCTTCTTTTGACAATTCTTCATGCATCATTCCTTATTTCCTTCCTGCCTTTCACCCTTCATTTTTATCTTCTTCATTTTTTTATCATAGAAACTCGGATTCTATCCATCTATATTTCCATCCTTCCATCTTCTCTTCGTATCTACTCCCCTCTCACTCTTCCTAATAATAATAGTCTTTAATGAAGATAATAACCCTTAACAGGCGTTCCTTCCCTCCCTATACTTCCTTCCCTCTCTCTCTTCCTCTCTGCTTCCTTCTTTCCCTCTTTATTTAAAATCGCTCACCTGAGCGATTTTTTTTTCAGTCGGACGATAACGATGAATTTTTGACGAATCAGTGCGCGTATACAAGTTATCGTATCATTATCGTTGTGTAGTGTGACCTGGGCTTTACAGTGGTTGCTTTATAATGATTCTATGACAAAATTATATTTTATCTAAACTTTTACAGCGATTACGTCAGCATGTATGTAATCTATTAATATATAAAAGTTTTATCTTAAGATTTTGAGGCATATAAAATCAAAAGATAAACGATATAGGCGAACGTCTTATTGCCGTTTTCCTTGGCAGATCAGACGGTATACTTCGGACGAGTTTCAGAGTTCCGAAACGCCCAGCCAGTGCCGTCTAAGAGGTATTGCCCTATTTTTGGGGTAAGTTTGAACTAAAATTTTAAGTACTGTTTAATAAACGAGCAGGAGTGTTTTATTAGGTTTAAAGACACGAGCGCGCAGCGCGAGTAGCTTTAGACGTAATAAAACACGACCTGCGAGTTTATTAAACGGCTTCAAACACGACTACAAATTCAATAGATATACCGCTTTATTAGTATTCTTTATATAAAAAATACTAATGAGGACACGACAACAATAGATACTGCCTTATTAGTATTCTTTATATAAAGAATACTAATTAGGAGTGTTTTATCAGGTTTAAAGCCACTGCACGTGACATATTACGGTTGACATGATTTGCCAATAAGCTTATGAATTATTAATGAGTGTTTGAATGTCATTTACACAGGATGTGGTTGCCCCATATCGCTTCACAAGCTCGTTCCAGGCCTTTTTCTCATGATTTTGGTAATAAATGTTCCCGAATAGAAAATTTGGCTAGCGTTGTTTACATCATTGCTACCCAATGCAGAACTTTAGCTAACTCACATGCCTAGTTACCATTGTTCTAGTTTACAGAAGCATAAAATAGGACAAAGGATAGGCTTACGTACAGGGTGTATAAAAAAAACGCAACCTCGGAATTTACCAAGAAATCGACATTGTTTTAAGGTCAAAAGATTTTAGATGCCTGGGAATTTAAAATAACACAACTGTCAAAATTACTGCATTTATTTAATACACTTAATAAGTTTTTATTTTACAAGTGCAGTACAACAACATTAACATGATCTATTAGCAATCGATTTCAGTTCCCAGGGGCCTAAAATCTTTTATGATTAAGAATTGCAAAGTGGATTTCTTAGGAAATTCCGAGCTTGTGTTTTTTTTATTCACCCTGTACAGGGTGTCCCCAAAAAACCAAACTATTGAAATTCGTATTGTTAGAATTTGACAGCTTCAGCACTCTGCTGAACCCACAAGTGCATAAAAGCTTGACATAAGTAAATTTTATACACAAAGAAACTGGTAAATTTTACAGCTAATTCAAAAAAGGTTGTCCTTTGCAAACCTTAAATTCTAAACCATAAATCTTAAACTCTAAGCGTGCAAAGCGTAATGGGAGCATCATTTAATCAGTTTAGAAATCAAAATGGGGCCCATTTCTTAGAGACGTGGTAAATATCTCCTTACAAGAACAATTCATTCACAAAAAGCTGCAATATTCAACTACTAAGCTTGAAACTTGTGCTCCCATTAAGCTTTGCGCGCTTAGAGTTTAAGGTTTAGAGTTTAATCTTTGGCACTTTGCGTTCAGCTTAGTGCTAAGCCTAAGGCATTCAAATTCTAACAATACGTTATTTCAATAGCCTGTGAACAAACATTCACAGGTTATATATTTGAATAGTTTAGTTTTTCTTGGGGCACCCTTGTATAATAGACTTTGTTTTGCTACGGTCGATTCATTGTGCTATGCATTTTGCAGATTGTTTTAACGTCCCAATACTCGGAACGGCTTTGTTTCGCTTAGCATCAAAGAGATATTTTTGTGGAAAGTAAATGAAAGCTTATAGAAATGTTAACAATTAGGTGCCAAAGTTATCGGAAAAATATCTCGTGAACTGCAAAATTAGTCAAATAACAGCCACGTTCGAACTTACAAAACAATGAAACGAACAATGGAATTGGCAATGGAATCAGCAAAGAAACTACTAAAAAAACACTAGATGCGATTGTTTACTTGTTTTTAACTGCCTAGCTAGCAGTCCTTTGTTTTACCCAAGAAAAAACGAGTAACAGAGGTAAAACAGTAATTGCCAACAGTAATTGCAGTAATTTCCCCACAGTAATTGGTTTTAAGCTGTTGTGGTGTCCCCGCCTTTTTGTTGTTGTCAACTTTATGTTGTTGCATGTTACCTTTTTGTCCAACATTGAAACGTGGGAGGCTCGGCGTATTTGCTGCGTTTCGATAAGTTTTGTCTAGGTCTATGCCAAGTTTTTAAGCAATTTCCCATATTTTCCAATGTTGGGCTCATAAAATTCAAGCATATTAAATGAATGTGTATGATTCTAAAATTAAACCATCCTATAGGTTTAATTTCGCAATCATGTACGTTGCGTTGAAGTTCTCTCGTTTTGGGGTTGGACAAAAATGGTTAGGTGTACGTTTGTTTGATTGTGTAATTTATAGGCGAAGCTAAATAAATAAATAAAACTTATATTGCTTTTCCTACAAAACATGTTCTTAAGAGAATGCTTAATGCGCATGCGCTTACTAAATTATGCTATACTAAGTAATTTATGTAATACATAACGCGTGTCCAAACACCAAGTGTTTCTACGTGTGAAATAAGCTCCGAAGAGTTAGAAAATACTCCATATCTGACAGAAACATTCACTTGCACTATTTTCAATACTTCGCTGACTTCTTCACTTCCTTCTCGGATATCCACCAAAAATGGGGGCGGGGATAATTTCCCTTTGCAGTTTACATCGACACCAAATTTTAACAAAGCGTTCAAACGCAAGGACATTCCTTTTGAAGAGACTCGATTCAACAAAAATGCAGTTTTAGCATCACATTTCAAGATGCTCGATTTCTGCGACCACAGCAAGTACCTTACGATTTCATCACGAGGTGTCGTTTTACACGACGTAAAAACACTGTCATTTGTAGTGTAGCAGAGCTGATCTAAATCAAGTTTCCAGAAATAAGGAGATTTCGCTAATGCAATCCACAACGGCGTATCGCCCAATTTGTTCTTAATATTTACATCAGCACCAAGTCGTACCAGATACTTAACAACATCTTCACGAGCACTTAGGGCTGCAATATGGAGAGGTGTATTTCCGTATTCATCTTGTTCATCAAGGATCAAAAATTTATTCCTTTTTAAACTTGGTATGATTTCCAAAGCTTTCTTGTACACACCAGTAAACACCTCTAGTCCAGTTATACTTGCGTAATGTAAAACAGGGTATTTAACAAACGAGGAAGAAGAAAAATCTGAACTGTAATTTTTGTATGAAGTGTCGAAAAATGTTCGCAACAATTCTCCAAAACATTCATTTTGATATCTCATATTCATCTTCACAAAAGGTTTTACAATACCCGAATTCAAAGAATTATTATTCCTCAATCCCATTGTAGAAATATCAAGAGCAGTGTGACCACAGTGTGTTTTTAACTGAGTGTTAACTCCAATACTTTTAAACCATTTTATAGCGGCAAGATTTCCACCTTGAGCAGCTCTGTGTATTGGCAAAAATCCTTCAGCATCATAGCATTCGTCCAAAATGCGAACACCTCTTGGATGACAGTCAATCAATCTTTGTATAGAAAAACGCTTTTTCTTTACGAAAGGTTGAAAGAAATTACCAAAATCACCAGATGTTGTTACGTATGAGATAAGATGCAGCTCTGAAGAAATAAAAGGTACTCCACATTTGAGAGAAAGATCCACTTCAAACATTTTCAACACTTCGCTCACTTCATCGCTTCCCCCATTGCGGATATGCATTGAAAGTGGAGACAATGTTCCATTGTCGTGGCAATTTACGTCGACACCAATTTTTAACAAGGCATACAAACTCAAAGGCATTCGCTTTAGAATGACTTGTCTCAACAAGAATGAACTTTCACGATTGCATTTTGAGATATTTACTCTTTGTGACTGGATCAGGTATCTTGCAATTTCATCGTAACATGTAGTGTTGCACGAACGAAATTCATCATCGTTTGTAGTATAGCAGCGATATGAAGCACTGGGATGTAGGTCATTAATTGGCGATTTCTTTACCGCGATCATTAATGGCGAATTGTGATATTTATCCTTTAAATTTATGTCCGCCCCAAGCGTAACCAAATACTTTACAGCATCTTCAAAGCCATGAAAGGCAGCGTAATGCAAAAGTGTAAGGCCATCATCTTTCCTGTAAGAAACCAATAATTCCCGCTGACGTGTTTCAATTGATAACTTAATAATACGCAAACGCCTTTCCGACTCTTTTTTTGTCATTTCTTCTACAGAAAGATTGCTGTCTTGGAAAGCTTTTAAACAATAAGAAATTCTCTCAGGTTTTAGCTCCTCACATGGCGACCATGCAACACTTTGCAGTAAAAGATCCCATACGTTTTTGACTTGGTAATTAACTGGATGATCTAAATACAAATTCGCTACATCTGCCGAACAATATGTCACGGCTAGTTTAACCATTACAGACGGTACTAAATATTGTCCTACTTTGTTGAGAGTACTATTAAAATTTTGAACAAAACGTGCTTGGTCGTAATGTATGGCAATTTGTAGAGCACTGTCGTTACCACAATTTAGTAAATCTACCGAGTCGAGGACTCTTGAATATGTTATTTTTTCTGCCATCTTCCACAGCCCATATTTAGCACTTATATGAATAGCTCTGTTACCACATTCACAACTGTCATTTACGCAATAAAGCGTATACAAAACAATTTGCTTGTCCATAGCATATTTAGAGCACATTTGCTTGTTACTATCCTTCACAATTTTTCGTCCACACTCTGTCGTTACATTGACCCCATGCCTCAACAGTAAATCTACCATTTCAGTATCATTCCTTTCCACGGCATCCATCAAAACAGTCTTCCCAGAATGATGCTTGCATTCTAGAGATTCCTTTCCATATGCCAGCAAAATATGTACGATATCATTCCGTCCTCTGGATACTGCGGCATGAAGAGCAGTTTCACAAAAATACGTATGTGCCTCCTGGATCGTAGGTTTTAGACTCAATTGTGAGAAGTGTTCTGGTTCGCAAGGTATACAAGTATCACGTAGTCCGACTGTGTGCAATAGAAATTCCACAACAACCGAATGATTTCTTGCGGCCGCGTGATGAAGCATGATTGGATCAAACGTTGCACCGTGATCATAAAACAACTTCACCACTTCTAAATGGCCATTTCCTGCTGCTACGTGAAGTGGTGTTGGATAACTCTTGCTGGCGTTGGGGAAGCTTATATTTCTTTTTATCAGAAGTTTAACGACATCCACGTGCCCTTTAGCAGCTGCTGCGTGCATCAAGCTAAACTCCTCGATACCTGTATTTCGAACCAGAACAGACACTGAGTCTATTTCTGTGTATCCATCCATAAAGGAACTGATATCCGCCCCATTGTCAATACAGCTTTGCAAACTTCTAACAAAACCTCCAGATGCTGCATAAAACGCCGGCGTTTTGTTTTTGGCATCTAGTACGTCAACATTTTGAAACTTTTGTAAGAAGAAATTAAGTGCAGGTAGATAGTTGCTTGGTTTTGTCACGAGATAATGTAGCATAGATTGATTAGTTTGCGATTCGCGCATCTCTGTAATATTAAAAAGATTCATTGCTGTTTCTTGCATTTCCGAAGCCTGTCCTGACAGAATGTGCATGAAAAGTTCAGTTAGTTCCTCAAACGCGACATCAATGTGTCTTTCAGGAATGCGACGCAGAAGAAACCGAGCAATATTTTGATGACCTCTAGTTTTGTTAGTAGAGAGTACGGCAGTCTTGCTTATCAACCAATCTGCAAAAGATTGATGGTATATTCTAACTGTTCCATCACGGCCAAATCGTAAGAAACAAGCCACATCTTCAATACGTTTGGGAATATCCTCCATTTTATACTCTATTTTAAGAATTTCCTGAATATCTTGGAGCGGAATAGGCGAAAATAGTGCTAACAACACTTCAAAAAGGGGACTAAATGCCCCAAATCCATCCGCAACAAATTGCCTGTTAAAGAAGCTGTTATACAAATCAAACAAACTTTCAGGTAAGGAGTGATAATACATTTTCACGCCTATATCGTTCATGTATTGCAATGTAATCTTTACAAACAAAAAGTTTCCTTCTGCTCGCATAATCATCTCATCCAGGAATATTTTCAAGTCACTAGTTCTTGACACAATATTCATTGCCATTAACAATCTGCCTGAAAAATCCGTATTTTGAGATATAAAACGCGATACATAGTAACGAATGTCATCAACATTCCGTTCGTCCGTGGAGTACAATGGCATCCTATTGATCTGCCTCTGAGGAAGTCTCGATGTAACAGAGGTCACGTTTCGAGAAGTTAATATGACCTTTAACCACTTTGGAAAATGTGGTATTCCATGTTCCAAAATTTCTATAATTTCGGATGTTTCTAAATCACTTTCGAAACACTCGTCTAAACCATCTATTATAATAAACCGAGGGCTGTCGGGCTGTTTTAACGTTCGTAAAGGTCCCACAACGGTGCTGAAAAAACAGCTCGCAGGATCTTTATGACAAGCACTATTCAGTTCCGTTCGAATCTGTTCATTGTTTATCACATGTTTGGAATATTCCGGTAACCGAGTTGCAATTTGATCAACTAAATTACGCACAAACCTTGCGCCGTCACGTTTTCCCTTCTCGGAATATTCACATAGATGATAACCAATGATATTTTGGTGTATTAACAAACTGGAATATGGTGAACATATCAATTGTGACATCAGTGCTGTTTTGCCTGAACCTGGCGCTCCAGTAATCAAGACACCCGCAACAGTTTCGTTTTCTTCGAAGATCTTTTCTAATTCGAAGAAAAACCACTTTCGACCAACGAACTCCTCTATCTTGTATACCAGGTAAGAGAAGTGAAATTCTCGGTACTGGCTTATTGGCGATTTGATCATTGAAGTGGAACAACCTAAAATGTTGAAAGATTCTCTTAGAAATCTTACAAAATAATACATATTATATATAACATTAACAAGCTTTCGTTGGTAGGAATGCAACTACCTGAAAAATATATAAAAAGACTTTCGACGTTTCAAGCGCCCAGACGAAGGGCCTTCGCTCGAAACGTCAAAATTCTCCTTATATTTTTCAGGTAGTTGCATCCTACCAACAAAAGCTTGTTCATCTTATTGGTACTACCTACACTGGCACAGACAGTTCAATGTTACAACATCTTGTTAAATTGTCGTTATTTAATTGGCTGATTATGATCACGTGATATTGAATAAAATTCCATTTTCATTTCCATTTTGTACTATGTTTTGTTCAATAGATCTTTCTTATAATGACGCAGAAAACCAATTTATGTGATGCCCCACGGGACAGAGCAAGTCGTTGGCGAGCTAATACATTTCATAAAAACATCATTTGCATTGCGGATTGTCGCTAAAAATTGTCCCTTGGAACTCGCTCAGTGTTTTTCCCCATTTGACGTCATTATAAGAAAGGTCTATTGAACGGTTTGGTTATCATTAAATTCAATCCGTCAAAATCCAAATCGTGTAGTAATCGTAGCTCACTTAAGCCTATTTTTCATAAATCAAATCCGTAATTCGCGTAGCCTGCGAACGGGCTCCTTAAATGGAATTAGAGCCTGCCGGTTTAGTCAATAAAAATACGTCTGTGCCATTACTATTTATAGTGTTGTCAATCAAATGGAAAATACAATTAACAAATTAATACAGAACGTCTTATGTATAAATAGCCTGCGAATATATGTAAACAAAACGCAAATCTCGATTTCAACGCGTGATTGTTTACAACAAGTCTGTAATGTTGAGTTGGAAAGAAACTCCAAAAACATTTACACGCAAAAAAACGCTGAACATGTGAACGAATTTTGCAGTTGTTGCAATGCTTCTTAAAAGTAACATACGAAGATACACGGAAGTCCGTTTCAATAGTGAACTTGCTCAAGCCAACAGTAGGGCAAGATAGTTTTGAAGTTCTTTTGCAAAATATCGGGATTGTTTGTGAGAGAGGTCCAGAATGGTCTGAAAGATTATGCGGGACATGCATAAAAATAAAATGTGCATTTTGAATTTGTATTTTCCTTTCTCCAGTCCACGTCTCAATGACGTCAGACTCGTCTATATTATATATAGCATTGGTGAGTTTGGCAACAAACAAGGGCGACGCCAATCTCGTACCCAGAGCAATGCCTGTGCGCGGGCTAGGATGGCATTGGCTCTGGGGAAATTGACAACCTAAATTTAAGGGTTCCGGTTCTTTGTCGGCATGCACGATTGATAAACGTTAAACCAATCACAGCACAGGAAAAATTCAATTTCCCCAGAGCCAATGCCATCCTAGCCCGCGCACAGGCATTGCTCTGGGTACGAGATTGGGGCGACGGCAGAAAACAAAATTACTTATACTTTTGAATTTGAGCGAAAACATACATTACTAAACTTTTAAAAGCACTTGTCTTTCTTTCAAACAACCCTGAAATTCCCTGAAGTGTCAATAGTAAGTGAATTCACATAAACACCGCAACGACTTGAGTTTGAACAACTACATCCACGGCGTACTAGATTTAGAATGCTCAAGAATGCAAATTATAGTCGCCTCTCTTATACAGCAAAAACATCGTTTCCGTCTAGAATATTGTTAAGAGCTTTTGACTGCCCATCCTTTAACTTTAAACAAAAATTTAGGTATACAACTCGTCTAATACATTTCTTATCGCTATAGAACGATATTTTTCGATTTCCGCAGTCCGCACTTTGTGTTGACATCTTGAATCTATTGTTGTGTAAATTGCATTACCTTTTATGGCAGTATAATCACAGTTAATAACCAACTACTCAATTTCAACCAATGGGAACCATGCGTCGTTCTAAGGAACGCACAGACGCGTTTTTGTTATATTATTAGCTAGGCCGGCAGGCTCTCTCTCAAATTTCAAAGAGAGTTCAAAGAGAGCCTGTTCGCAGGCTATAATTCGCGCAAAGCAAAAACACTGATCTGAAAACTAGGACTGGGTGGTGCACCCGCTATGCATGCATGAAGCCAATGGTGACCACCCCAAACCTACGGTGGGATTGGTGACATGTTGGAAGAGGTTCTTACGGTTTCTGATTAATGGTGGTTAATAGAGATTTATCAATAGTGGCCTCTCTTCCCTCTTAAATTTGCCCGTGAATACCTAATGAGATAAGATATTTGCTTGATATTGTAGCTATTTCAAACACGTGGAGATCCAACATGCAGATATTTTGACAGACTTCACTAAATAAAATCTCATTCCATCTCGTAAATATTCTGACTTCAAGATTGACTGACTGAATAGGCAATTCCAGCTTGAAGTTTATGCGTGCAGGGAATGATGGGAGGTAAGGTATCATATTGCTGATTATGCTGAAAAAATAAAAATGGTGGCCGTGTAAACACGTAGTGATAGCTTATACTTGTAAATATTGAAATATTTCGGTTGTTTCGGCAGTTTTTATTGAACTTTTTCAGCATAATCGGCAATATGATACCTTACTTCTCATCATCCCCTGCACGCATGAACTAAAAGCTGGAATTGCTTATTCAAAAGGATAATCTATCCAGGGCCGATTTATCTCATGAAAATATTTTTTACCATCATAGGAATGAAAACATTTATTATTTGTATAATATTCTATTACCTTCAAAATTAATGCAGTTCAGTACTATTCCACACTTTAGATAACACAAGATGAATTTTATGTTCATGCACATTCATTTAGGGGTTAACTTCAAAACATATCTTACCATAATCTAAAATCACACTTCTGTCACCAACTTGAGAAAACATTAAAAATGATATCAAAAACCACAGCAACCCAGGAATGTTGCGAGAAAAGGAAGACACTGCGAACAATAATATTGTAATAAAAACAGCACCTATTTTATCGTTTGCCATCTCTTTCTTTAGTTTCTTTCTCTCGGTTATTTCTTCTTTTGCCTCCTTTATTTCCTCTTTTGTCACCTCTTTAAGTTGTTGATTTTGAATAATCTTTAATTCTGTCTGTTCATCTAAGATTGAGATATCTGCCGTTTCTACTTGTTTAATAGCTTGACGACAGTCTTGAATTTCTTTGATGCCATATAGCTCAGGGTCAGTCATTAAGTTATCGATGCGTGTAAAAACATCCTTGGCCTCGTCGGTAAGGGTACGCATTGGCGAATTAGCCCACCTATTTTGCGAATCTATAATAGCTACTAATGTGCCTTTTTGAAATTTGAAATGATTACAATACAATAGCAAGCTAAGAAGAGATCCACAATCAGTAGTGCCAGGATCTTTAGTTGTGGCCCACGTTTTTCCTAAATCAGACATGAACAACTTTGCAATCTCCCAGTATCCATGAACTGGATCATCCCAACGGCTACTATTGCTTTGATGCCACGGCATGTATTCTTTTCCTGGGAAAACATGATGATTTTTTAATTCTCGAGCCCATATACAAGGTGTATCTGGTTGTCCATGAGGGTGTGGTGAGCTTTTTCCATAGGTATAGCAACAATGGCACTTAACTCCAGGGTCATCGATATTTGTTGTTATCAAAGCATGAAGTTCCTTCATTTCATGCTCAGCATATTTCTGAAGGACATCGCCGAGGAGCAGAAACGCTTGACCAACAGCCAACCAGTTACAATAATCAGAATCATTTCTCCTTTGCAATAAATGTTGTTCAATTAAGTCTACACAACATACATAAAAAATATTTAGTTTTCATTTGTAAGTACACACAAGGTATAATAAATGTTAAAAGGTTTTTGTAGATGGAAATTTCGAGTGTAAATTTACACTCTTCATTCACGGCAGACCAAAATTTTTACCGAGCCACGAAGATTCAAAGCGCGGGACGCGAGGATGACTTTTTATTTATATAATTCATGTCTTTTTAAACTGTACTAACTGTAGGGAACCACCCTAACCAATTTGTTGTTACAGTGAATAACTAACTGTGTAAAAATCCCCATCTGAAACAATAGAGTAAACGTGAAAATCTTACTGCTGTTCCAATTGAAGTGTTGCTGAAATATTGATTCAATACATTACCTCGGGCTGACCAATTCATTTGATCAAGTTCCTCGAGATATTCATACACTTCCTGTGAAAGAGCCAATTCCAAGTATTTGATAATTTCTGGTCACTTC